GAGCATTGGGTTCGAATTCAACGGGGTCTGTCTCGAACCGGATGGTACGGAGAGACTGTGGCAGTGAGAGGCACCCGCATGGTTGGATTCGAGAATCGGAACCAAAGCGGTCGAAGTAATCGTCGATACCGATGGATTAATAGAAGCTGTCGGATTCGAGGCTCTCGAATCCGTTGTCGGCCCCAATGGAAGGTCAATCATTGAATCCGCCACGCTGTCAGGTTCAATGAGAGCAAGTCCGGGTGACGAAGTGTGCCGTCCATTTGCATTATAAGATATGGAAGTGCCGGAAGATGAAGAAACTCCCCGCGGGAGATGTCGAGCAGTTTCGCAAACCACACTTGATGTGGCCACCAAGGGGCAACTAGTATCCCCGATGCACGGTCGCTCACTATCTTTGCTATGACCCTCATCAGAAGAGGGATCGGAGGGAAAGCATAGAAGTTAATGTTGTCCCAAGGGATCATGAATGCGTCCCCTAGGGATGCTTGTCCAATTCCCGCTCTGGAACAGTAAGTCTCGCATACTCTGTTCTGTCGAGTAGTGAATAAGTCCACATCGGGGAACCCCCAGCACCTGAAAAGGTGGTTGCGCGTATGAGGATCCAGTTCCCACTCATGAGAAGAAGATGTGTCTGCTGAGAAGATCCGCGTGCACGTTGTCTATGCCAGCCAGATGAACGGCCATCAGAGTAATGTGTCTCTGAATGCACCAGTCCCAAATTCTCATAGAAAGCCTGGCTAAGGTTGGTGACTTCGTCCCTCCTTGCTTGTTCAGATAAAAAACGGTCACTATATTGTCCAAAGTTATCTGAACGATACGATGATGAAGGAGGTCTTCGAAAGAACGAAGGGCTTTGAAGACTGCCAGCAGCTCTAGGAAGTTGATATGATTCGTGGATTCTAGACGAGTCCACATTCCCTGGGTAGACAGGCCAGAGCATATTGCCCCCCATCCTAGGAGAGACGCATCGGTACCGAGAGTTATCGAAGGAGGTCGCGCCCTGAAGGGGACTCCCATCATGAGATTGGTCGGTTTCAGCCACCAGCACAGGGAGTGGAGCACGGAAGACGGGATCCGAATCCGTTTCGACTGTGGATCTCTTTGTGGATGATACACCTTGTTGAAGAATCGTTGTAGTGGGCGAAGCCAAAGTCTGGCATGTGGAACTACGGCAACTGAGGAAGCCATATACCCCAGGACCCTCTGGATGGATCTCGCTGTAACCGTTCCCTCTCGTCGGATTCGATGGATATGGTGAGCGAGAGTCTGCTGTCTGTCCTGAGGGAGGAAGGCTTTCTCCAACATCGAATCCAAGCGGGCTCCAATGAAGGTGAGCATCTGTGTCGGAAGAAGAGAAGATTTCCCTGTATTAATACGTAGGCCCAGACTATCTAGTAAGGTACGGGTTGTATGGATGGTGTCTAGGAGTCCTTCTTTGGATTGCGAGACCAACAGCCAGTCATCGAGGTACGGGTAAATATGTATGCCCTGAAGGAGTACGAAGGCACAGACAGGAGCCATGCATTTGGTAAAAACTCTCGGAGCCGTAGCCAGTCCAAAGGGTAAAACTGTGAACTCATAAAGTTGGTTTGCAACAGCAAAACGGAGGAAACACCTGTAAGTTGGATGCATTGAAATATGAAAGTAGGCGTCCTTCAGGTCCAGTGAGGCGAACCAATTACCTCTCCTTAACAACGGGAAAATGTTTTGAAGGGTGGTCATACGAAACTTTCTCGGTATAATAAACTTATTCAAGTCCCGCAAATCCAAAATTGGACGTAGACCACCATCCCACTTGGGGACCGTAAAGTATCTGGAATAGAATCCGTGAAGTCCATCAGATGGAAATACTTGACGAATTGCTCTTTTAAGGAGAAGTTGCTGTATTTCGTTGAGAAGTACCGGCGAACATGAAGTAGACCGGATCGGACTCAATGGAGGAACGATGTCGAATTCTATTCAATAGCCGTGTTTAACGATGGATAATACCCACCGGTCAGATGTGATGGACTCCCAATGGGGAGTCGGCTTCGGAGCCGATCCCCAGATGAGAGGGGGGTGGGTATTAGAGGAGCATGAGGAGTGGTTCGCCAGTCCCGTCAACACTGAATCCGATCGTCGAAACGACGGTGGCCCTGTTGGAAGTGCTGTTGGGGCTGAGGGCGGTGGTGCTGTTGATGCTGTTGCTGGCGGTGTTGCAGCAGCTGTCTGCTGGTATGACTGGTTGTAGGATGGCTGATTCCAGGACCACTTACGTCTGCTGTGTGACTGGATCTCCATCCTGCGTGCCGTCATTCTTGACTCGTGCAGTTTCTTGAGTTTGTGGTCGGTACGTGAATGGAAGAGCCCGGAACCATCAAAAGGCATCTCTTCTATTCGCCGCTTGGTTTCCTCCAGGAAATTACAATTCCGAAGCCATGCGTGTCTCCGGAGGGAAACGGCACCGACCAAGGCCCGGGAGTCAGTGTCCACATGGTGACGTGCCGTGGACAACTGCTGCACCGCGACCTGCATGGCTTCTTTGATTAGGACCTTCGCAAAGTGACCCTGGTGGTCTGGGAGGGTAGAGGCGACGTTGTGGGGGCACTGCATAATAAAATATTGATATCGCGCCAACGTCGCCTCGTAGTTGGAAATGCGAAGTCCTAAGCCCGAGGCAGCATAGACTCGCCTGGCCAGGGAATCTATTTTCCGGCCCTCCTTATCCCTCGGTGCCGTATGTCCTCTCACCTCTCTGCCTTGCAAGGATTCGACGACCACCGAGTTTGGTTTCGGGTGCTTTAGCAGGAAGGGGATGTCTTCTTCCTGGACCCTGTACATAGACTCATATCTCCTGGATGTCGGCTGAGGATGTGAAGGTAGGTCCCAGGGCTGCGTCATCGCCTACCGCAGGGTAGTTATAAGCGGCAGAACGATGGAAGTCGATTGCTCCCCGCGGACGATGTCGTAAAACTTGTCCGTCGAAGGTCCTGGGCGCTGGGCAGCGTCGATGTCCAGGGACTGGACAAGCCTTGACATCAGCTCCGTGAAGGAGACGTGTGACTCACTGGGTGACGCAGGATCCTGGGATGTCACCATGACGTCCGGGGAGGTTGAGTCTACTTCAGAGATATCCGAATCAGCACCGTAGTATGGTGGGGCAGAAGATGATGACTCCGCCGGCGAGAAGGAGCAGCTGCTTTCGCTTTGTGGGGATCGAGGTGGCACCCTCCTCGAATCCACAGACCGCGGTTGGTCGTGGGGCGGAGGTGAGGATCGCTCCCTGGGAGCAGGGTAGTACCCCACAGAGAGCGGGTCTCCCCAAGGTTGGTAGTAAGGACGACGCCAACTCTCTGGGCGTTGCTCTACCGAGCAGCTCCTCCGATTCCCTGGTGGGGACAGGCCAGCTTCTGTCTCCAACGTCACCGCGGGCATCGGTGTCGGTGACCTCGCTCTAGGAGGGGAGTCCTGGATTTCCCCATCCGAAATAGACCCCCGTAAAGTTGGAAGGGGTGCAGGTGGGAGGTTGACTGCACGTCGGGGAAACCCTTGAGGGGTAACCCGCATGGCCTCCTGAAGGATCGGTTTGGGCGGGGTCGGTATCGTAACCGCCACCGCTACTGAGGGTCCCGTCAGCTCCGAGTCCTGATGTCGGGAACAGTCCGTGGACTTAGCCTTCTTCGGAGGCTTAGAGGCCTTCTCTTTTCTGGCCTTCTTATGGCCTGCCAGATTCTCTTCGGCATGCTTCCGCTTCTCATGCCTCTTTTTCGGTGAAACAGAGGGGGCCACCGAAGCGGACGCATCTTCATCCGAAGGGCGTGAGGGTGGAGCCACAGAAGCGGAGCCAGGTTTTGGGATAGAGACGAGCGGGTCTGATTGCATCAGAGCCCTATCCCAAAGGAGCCTCCGAAGCCGGTTCTCGCGGTTCTTCCTAGCCTGCTTTGAGAAGGCTAGGCAATGAACGTACTTATCCGTCCTATGCCCCTCTCCAAGGCAGAGGAGGCATAGGTTGTGCGGGTCAGTAGGTGCCATTTTTGACCCACAGTCTGCACATTTGCGGAAAGCCGCTCGCTGCGCCATCGCAGAAGAAGAAAAAGAAGAGAGATAGTGCAGAGGGTAAGTGTATATATATATATTTGACAGATCGAAGAAGAAAAAACAAGAGAAAAACTACACAGAAGTGGGAAACGAAGTAAGGGGAAAGTAGTATAAGGGCAGTATATAAGGAGAGAACCAAGAATAGCCAAAGCGAAAGTCAAAAGAGGCATGAGGCACAGTGAACGGCGGTTGCAAAGACTGAACAAAATGGCGGACGCTCCGCTCTTTATAGGCCACAGGGGGGAGGGGAGCGGAGCTTCCCGCCAAAAACCATTAGCTATCAATCTTCTGGCCACAGGCACTGCGCAGGCGCAGTACCCATATGTGTGATGCACAGAGGCCACGACGAAGAATGCATATTTCAATTAAAAAAAAACTCTAGCCAAACTATAGTTGATATGCTGTTAGAATTATCAGTGGAGAGGGGATGAAGAAAGGAAGTGCAAAGCCTGTCCCTGGATTTCACTGTGCAGTATAGATACACTAGGGGCTAGCAAATGTTATCTGAACAGACCTTCAGTTAGAATTTACATTTTCCTCACAACAGGATGACACAAAGAAAGCATAGTACATTAAAAATTAGACTTGATTAGAATGAGCTGATAGATTGGACTCTCCTGACCACTTAAGACTGCAGGTAGGGAAAATTGTACTCCAAGGAGAAATATTCCAAAGCCATATTTTAGAATATGACATTCAATGCCGTAAAAGTCTCGAGAATACAGAATTCAGAACATTTATACACAGGAATTCAAATAGAATCCCCTCTCTCTGGCAAATGCCAAACAGGGACTATGGACAAGTAACTTACTTTTGCCAATAAAATTTTCTGAACTGGCTCAGAGTCATCAAACACTACAAAACCAAAGTTTGGAAGTTTTCCACCAACGCCTTTAGTATTGATGCGAAGTTCCACGACGTTACCAAAACCTGTGAAAATGAAGCACAAGTGTTTATAAAAATAAAGATGTACAGGGACTTCCAAGGGAATGGCGACTTGAAGCAGAGGCAGCAACATTTGTTGCTGTTCCTGCCTTATCTTGTTTTGGAGGATAAAATTGTCCTTGAGGTGTTTACCTCTCTGACAGATAAGCATGAAGACTCTGTCTACGGCTCTGATTACAGCGAGATGGCAAGATAAGGTGAACTGAAATAGTTATAAAGTCAACTCCCCACATTTATTCCTTTTCATTCTCTTTTTCTTCCTACATTATTTTTATTTCTATTTCTTTTTACATTACAGTGGTATCTCAGCTCACGAATGCCTCAGTTCACGACCAAATCGGGTTGTGAACAGAAATTTCTGAAAAATTTTGCCTCAGGCTGTGAACTCCCCATCGGGTGATGATCGCGATTGCACCTGTCTCCCTGCCGAGCACCCGTGATCACACCCGTCTCCCCCTGAGCGCGTCCATGATTGCGCCCATCTATGGCCACGATCACAGTCCTATGGGGTGGGGGGGAGATGGCCATGCTTATGCTCGGGGTGTGGGGGAGATGGCCGCAATCTTTGTTATTGTCACTTTGCTTCAATTTTTTGTGATTAAAAAAAAAATAGTTACAGAACAGATTAACCTTATTTACATTGAACCTTATGGGGAAATTTGTCTTGGCTCACGACCAATGTGGGTCATGACCAGAGGCTTGGAACGGATTAAGTTCATGAGCCAAGGTACCACTGTATAACTTTTTTTTTGCCAAGGGAATAATACTGCTGCAACTTAGACTCTCAAGGAATTTTGTTTGCATATTTTGAAAAGACTCTGAAACAGATAATCGTTCGTTGATGGATGGCGTCTCATTTGCAAAGCTGTTTAATGTTTCTATTTTAAAATTAAGTATTAAACTGACCTTGGGAAGAGAATATTGAAGGACAACAACGCTTTCCATATAGCTCAGATTTGAGGCTGCAATTTTGGCTGTGATTCAGATTTCAAGGCATTTACCTACTTAGAAAAGGACTTTGAAAGGGGTATTCCTTTAATGTCTGTTTGAACTCTAATTAAGTCCTTAATTTTGTAGTTGTAAACTGTCTGATATCTATATTGAAGAAATTTGGACATTATAAACTGACCTTGCCTGACGTTTGGTGTGATGGAAGAGACAGTGTCTCCTTCTTCCGTCACCATTTTCTGAGGGAGTGGCTGCCTGTTTGAGCCAAGTAATTTTTCTGTTGTTTTGGATCTGATCTATGTATGATTTGTTGCAAGGAACAATTATATCTCCCTGATGGGACTGGGCAAGACTTGGTCTTGCTCCTTCTCCCCTTCTTCAACTGTGGGTGATGGAAAACAAAGAGAACAAGCATGATGTGGTATGAGAAGATCATTAGTGCCACCTGTTGGACTTTGGAAAAACTGGAAGTTAAAGCTCCCTGCTATGAAAGTCTGAACAATGCCTTTACTTAACTAATCTAAACTAATATATTCATAGAGATAGAATGGGATTAATAATTCTAACATTGACTGAAGGCTGACTAATTGCCTCTTATCTACTTCTCTTCTTGTCCTTTTCTCTTTTCCCCGCCTTCTCTTTTTTCTTCTTTTCTTGATTTCCTCCTCCCCTAATTCTTCTGCTTTAAGCTGTAGTCTTAAATTTTTAATTTGTTTACAGTTATGAAGAAAAGATGGATGTGTGGAGGAGAAGAGGCGAGAACACAAGAAGGAAATCTGAATTGGATGTGGGAAAATGGATAATAAAGCTGAAAAGAGATAACCGTTTAAGCACCTTAGATTGATTATTAGAGACAAAATGAAGAATATGCTTTTTGAATATAGTCCCAGAGAGCCTTTCAAAGAATATGTTAGAATTATTTTGGTATATGATAATCATGGCAATTGCAGTTGTTTCTGAAATTGTCGGAGCCCCCAACAATTGAAGAATGGAGAAACGGATTGGCAGAGTATGTTGTGATGGCCAAGTAGACTAGCCGTGCTGACATATTGTCAGCCGATAAACAGAATTTTACTGTGCTTAGCATGTTTAGTGGGATTTGAGGAGTTTAGAAAAGGAAAGATAACTGTAGAGGATTTGAAATGATTGGGGAATCTGTTGTGGTACAGATTAATGATTTCTTTCTTTTGTTAAATTCTCATGGACCACAGAAAGACAGGAAAATCGATAGATTTGGGAGGCTGATTGTATTGGTTGGCTCTGTATAGAATTCCCTTGGCAACCTTGTCTGTTTTAGCTTTCTTTGTCTATTTTAGTTGTTTTGTTTATTATTGTTGCTTTGTTAATTAAAACAAGATGTACAGTATCTACTAAACAGCACTGTAATTAACTCAGAAGGATATTTTTGTAATGTCTGTTAAAGAGGTAGTTCAGAAAGTTTTAGCATATGTTTAAGGATTTATGGCTCCTCCAATGCAAACTGAAAGATACATCACGTACTCATGAAGAATTCCTTCAGTTCATTCTCATCAATATCATGTGGTAAGTTGCCAACAAAGAGCTGGTGACTATCTGGATAGCGAATTATTCTGCGATTGTCTGATTCGTTCTGATCCATATCTCCTCGACCTGCAGTCATTCAAAAAATGAAGCACATTCAGTGTAAATCTGTACACTTTTAATAAGAATGGGCAGTGGCAAGTGTCTATTGATTTATAACTTACAGAATAGTTTGCTTTGAAATAGTAAAAAGGATGGGTTTTCAATCCTATCAAAGTTTCATTGTAATGAAATTGCATGCATCATTCTAAATCCTACACAAGGGTGCAGAAGCAGTGTCACCTGGTTAAAGGTTCTAGTAAGCTTTTAAGAATGCAAAATCTGCATTTATGTTACTTTCTGATATGTTCCAACATAGGTTTCTTGGCTCCTCTCCACCCCCAACTATGATATCATAGTTGTACAGGCAGTCCCTAAGTTACAAACATCCGAGTTATGAACAACCCATATTCACAAACGAACTGCCATAAAGCCTATTAATTTTTTAAAAATTACTGCAGGAAATTGCCATCACCATAGAGAAGGAGGAAATGAAAGGGTAGAGAGGGAGGCCTCCAAAGCATGCCTTCCTGTCCCACCCATCCAGAGAGGGAAATCTCTTCAGCGTTTCCTTGCTGCAAAGACGTGGCACTGATGAACTTGGGCAGCGAGGGGATTTGCGGTTTTTCTACTTTCATGGGGGCCTGAACCCCTAACCCCCTCCCCCCTGAATGTGGAGGGCTGATGATATGTGCAAGTTACTAATGCAAGTTAAAGATGAATTTCCATTTTCTCAGGAACATAATTTGTTTATAACCCGAGGAATGCCTGTATTAGACTTGTGAATAAACTCACCTATTAATCTGTAGCAAATAAGAAAGCACTCAGGAAAAATTTCAGTATTGGAAGAAGGTTGGGTTTTAATTTATTTCAGGCAGTTGCCTGAAAGATATTTGGGCAGATGGGTGGTAACTTACAGCACAATTCTATGCATGTCTACTTAGAAATAATCCTCCATGAATTCCATGTATAGGACTGCAGCCTTAGACATCATGTCTAACCACTTTGGTTGCAGAGAAGCATGAGAACAGGTTAGTAATCACCATACATTCAGATAACAAAGCCATTGGACAACATTCAAAGAACTACTTTTGGGATACTCCAAACCTTAGAAATGTGTGACTTCTATCTCTTGAATGCCAGACCCCCACTGCCATCCACAGGAGCCTGGAGAAGGATGGGAGTTGTAGGACTTCATCTAATATGCATAGGCTCACTAATTAAGTAAACTAATTAAGTAATTCCCCTTTACTTTCAAGAGAAGTGTATAAATGCAACATTGTGACCATGCGCAAATCACAAATACAGTCTGCCTTTGGACACAAAGAACTAGACATGTGTTTTTTTCAATCCAGACTATCATTTCCCCAATTTCAATTTACAATGACCAATTGTCAAGGTCTGAAATACTAAAACCAAAATATGTATGTAGGGTTACAAATAATAGAGTGAGCATAATACAATGCTGCTGTGGCTTAGCATCAAGGAGAGTTATAAAAATGATACATTGGTTAAGCAGGTTGTGGTCAATATTAATTAAATGGAGAATGCCATATTCACATGAAGACGAGGAGAAAATGCATATAAACAGTGATTGTTGTGCCTAATATCTGATAATGGAACTCTGCCTCAAGTAGTATATGAAAATATCCACACCATGACACCATAACATAATAGGATATTACATGCAAGTTCAATTTAAATAATCTCTGTATGGGAACTATACATATTGCCCAGCCAACGCATGACATTTCAGTGGGTAGAAACAGAAACACAAAAACAGAGTGAGTCAGAAGGGGCCTCCCAAGCTCCCATCTAGTCTGATCCCCAGCTCCAGTCGGCTCCACTCATGACATGCCTACCATGTTCCTGTCCAGCTTATCCTTAAACACACTCATGGATGGGGCTTCAACCTTCTCCTGTATTATTATGCAGAGTACCCACTCTCAAATGTACTTTCAACACCTGGTAATTCTGGATATGCTTTCAAGCAAAAGTATACTCTCTTACTCTCATTAGTATGGTGTATGGGGTCCTGTTAGTATCATTCAGCCATATTTGTAATATGGTATTCAGTAATAATGAAAATCTTGCTTTGTTAATCCCATAGAACATTTCCCCTTATACTATTAAATCAAACTTTGGGTTTGGGAGAAATGGAAGTTATAATCTTGTTTTATTAATATACCAGAAAGGCAGGTTGCATACCTGTAACTGTCATTCTTTGATTGGCCATCTGTGCATTCACACACGAGTGCTGTGCTTGTGCAGTGCCACATTTGGAAAGATTCCTCTAGCTAAGTCTAGATTTTTTGGTGGGAGCCCCCCACCCCGCATTATGTAAATATGTGGGCTTCCGTCAATTTCTCAGTCCAACTGGAGACCAACATTTGCCCTTTTTTCTAGGTCCAGAACTGTACTATCACTGTGTAAATAATAGATGAAGGGACAGGAAAAAAAACATCCACCAACACTGATGCGGGGCCAGCAGGTGGGTTGCGTGAATGCACAGATGACCACTCAAAGAACAATAGTTATATGTATGCAACCTGCCTTTCTTTGTTGTGGTCTCTGTGCATCACACATATGGGTGACTAGTAAGCACACCATTAAAGGAAGAGGAAGGTATTGTTAGAAGAGAGGTGACAACACAGACCAGCCAGAGGAGCAGTCTCATCTGGCTCTCACATTGAGCTGATAGTAGTGGACGAATGGATGGTGTTGATCACATAGCTGCTCTGCACAACACGTCTAACAGTAGTCCACATGGAGGGCTGCTGATGTCAATATTGACCTGGTGGAATGAACTCTAGGACTGTCTGACAAGTCCAGGTCTGCTAGGTGGTATGCTAATTTAACTGTCTCTATGATCCAGTGTGCAAAGCACTGGGAACTGACTGGCTCGCCTTTGGAGTAGTGTACATATATGATAAACATATATTTTGCGAACCCACTTGGTTCGGGACCAATAGAAAGCTAGCATTTGGCTACCATTGAGAGTATGTAGTGCCCTTTCAGTGCCCACAGATGGTGAAGGAAAGAATGCCAGGAGCACTATTTCTTGATTTACATGAAAGAAGGAAGAGACTTTAGGGGGAAAGGATGGATCAGTACGGAGTACCACTTCTTTCTTGGGAAAGTCAAGTATGGAGGATCTCTCTGTAGTGGGCAGAGTTTGTTCACTCTATGAGCTGAGGTGATGACTAGTAGGACTAAGAGATGAGGCAAAGGTCCATGGTAGCTTCATGTAACACTATGTAACACTATGGATAGATTCCAGCTAGGGACTATGGATCAGCCAGGAGGATTTTGAAGCCTTTCATGAAATGTTCTGAGAGAGGGTGAGCGAAAGCTAAGTAGCCCTCAACAGGACCTTGGAAGGCAGAGATTGCAGATAGGTACACCTTGACAAAGGTTAGTTTATGTCCTTTTTGGTGCAGGGAGTGTAGAAACATCCCCCATGGAATTCTTGCCAATCCCTGCTCTGGAACAGCAGTTACTGAATGCAGCATTCTCTTTCGTAGCAAAGAGGACTGTAGATGGGGTACCTCATGCAGCAAATATGTTGTTCAGGATCTCTGTGTTGAGTTTCCATTCATGAATTAGGAATGGGGTGTGGCTGAGTATGTCAATAGTAACGTATGAGTCTACGGACATACTGCCCTAAATGAGCCCAATATCATCTAAGGTTATGTCGTGGTGAATGCAGCAGTTCCATATTCATAGGATTAGTCAGATCAGTGGCTCTCGTTCCACCCTGTTTGTTGATATAGAATACTGTGGTGGTATTGTTTGAGACTATTTGGATGTGTTTGCCAACTAGCATGTTCAGTAGATCAATGAACACTTTGTACACAGCCAGCAGCTCCAGGAAGTTTATATGGAGTCTCTTTTTGTGCCTGAACCAAGTCCCAAAGGTAGAAATGGAAGTCGCTCCAACAGATTCGAATTGTGCATCCTCCAAGCTAGGTTGCCAATACATGAATAGGCAGCATTAGAGTCTTTCTCAGCAAGCTGCACACCTTGTAAACTGGAGCTAGTGTGGGCGCATTTGCAGCCTGGCATAATGCACAATGGCGATGGCCGATGCTATGCACCTTAGTAACTGTTGAATCTGTTGAGTGGGGGACCTCGGGTTGGTACAAAGGTTAGAGACTGTAGTCATGAGCTTCTCCATACGGTCACAGGGAAGGTACACTCAAGCTGGCACAGAATAGAGAACTGCTTCAATACACAGGGATGGTCTGTGAAGGAGCAAGCATGGATTTTTCGATATTAATGCCCAGACCAAACGGTTAAGAGTAGTGCAGGTAATTTCAATTGACTGCAGTTAAGTCCTGTTTAGTGTCAGCTACTAACATACAGTTGTCTAAGTAGAGGTAAATGTGTATCCCCTGAAGTCGCAAATGTACACACATTGGATACTCTCGGTGTCATAGAGAGATCTAATGGTAGCCCCTTGAACTGGAAGGGGTTCGTAGCCATCTGCATCCATAGAAAATAGGTGTAGTCGGGATGGATGCTAATATGAAAGCATGCATCCTTTAAATCAATGGATATGAGCCGAACCCCTTTTTGCAATAGTGGCATAATGACTAGCAGGGGAAACCATTCTGAATTTCTTTTGAGGATGATTTACTCTTCACAGATCCAAATGAACCACTGACCTCCATCTCTCTCTTTTTTTTTTTTTTTTTTTGGAAACCTTTTTTTTTTTTTTTTTTTTGGAATGGTAAAGTAGTGTGAATGGACACTGTGTAGCCTTGGACTGGTGTATTGGTCAGATCAGACCTTTTACTAGTAAATTGGTGACTTCCTCCATTAGGATTAGAGAAGGAGGAGTGATGTGAACTGTTCCAAGAGGAGGCAGGGTCTTAAATTCAATTCTGTATCCATGCAGTACTATGAAAGTACCCATCTGTCAGATGTGATGGATTCCGTGCTGGGAAGATGGTGACTTAGGTAGTCTCCAAATGGGGGTGGGAAGTTAGTTAAAGGACTGGTTTATGTTGTCCATCAATGCTGTCTTTTGTCAGAGTTGAGCCATATCCTGCCTTGCTGGAGTTGGCCACAGTCCCAGTGGCATTTGCGGTTTGGTGGTTACTACCCATAATGAGGATAGCCAGCGTAAGGATCTTGTCATCTGGAATGGTAGGGCTGGTACTGGGGAAATTGGGCCCACGGCCACTAGTTGAAATGGGTTGATGCCATATGCCAAGCCGTTGCTCTAGCCTTCGGGAGCTTGTCTAATCTCTTGTCCGTGCGGGTGTGAAAGAGGC